AAGTAAGGGATAATGTACATCCAGCCGGTTGTTATCTCAGAATAAACCCCGACAGGGTGATCAGGACTTGTATCAGCCTGAAGGGGTTTATTCTGAGATAACAACCGGCTGGATGTACATTATCCCGCTTATTACACGGCTACTTGTCTCAAGTAAATTAGACACGAAATATTGACTTGAGTTGAAATATTTTATTAGCTCTTACGCAAAGCTTCCGCGAAGAAAAACAGTTCCTAACAAACTGCTGAAAGCCTTTTGAAGTCAGACAATACGAACATTTAAGGCATAATGTTCAGTCCTATCATTAATTACAATAAACAGTTGTTTTTACCATATATGTTGAAATTAATGCTGAAGTCTTCCATTGTAACACGCGGTGGTTAAAGGTCCCATATTGTACGCCTTTCTCTAGTTTTATTTTAGGTTTTGATGTCCTTACGAATATATATTTGCGGTATAAGTACCAAAAACCATCTCAATATATTTTTACAGCTCCTTTCTCAGGAGCTCTGCTGAGAACAGGTCGATTTTGGTCTGTCACTTTATTCCATTGTATGTGGGAATGTACTAAAGTTAATTGTTTTTGGGTTAAAATATTAAATATTATAAGTCAAATCATTGGTAAAGTAATTCCTCTTGATCCCAGGTTGTGTATATTACATATATGTCCTCTGAACTTTAAAATTACCAAACATGAAAGATTGTTGTTAATTCTTTGTTTGCTGGAAGCTAAACGTGTAATTGCATGTTCTTGGAAAAAAGAAGAAAGTCCTGGCGTGTCTCAATGGATAAAGGGGATGACCTCATGCCTTGCCTTAGAAAAGATTACCTATTTTTTGAAAAACAAACTTCATGTATTTTGGTCCATCTGGAAAGTGTTCTATGACTTTTTGGAGAGTCTAGATGGTGACTCTTTTGTGGAATTGATGGACATTGAAAGTATATAGACAAGTATGTTATCGCTGTTTTTTTGTGTGGTTTTTTTTTAAGGTTATTGAGTTATTGTTGAGTTAATTTTTGTATTATTATTATATTTTTGTATTTTTTATTTATATATATATTTTTTATTCAGTTATAATGAAAATTTTTACTGTTGTCTTAACCTGCATGACAATCTTTGAAAATAAAATTGTTGTTCAAAAAAAAAAAGTAAGGGATAATGTACATCCAGCCGGTTGTTATCTCAGAATAAACCCCGACAGGGGGATCAGGACTTGTATCAGCCTGAAGGGGTTTATTCTGAGATAACAACCGGCTGGATGTACATTATCCCGCTTATTACACGGCTACTTGTCTCAAGTAAATTAGACACGCAATATTGACTTGAGTTGAAGCTCTTACGCAAAGCTTCCGCGAAGAAAAACAGTTCCTAACAAACTGCTGAAAGCCTTTTGAAGTCAGACAATACGAACATTTAAGGCATAATGTTCAGTCCTATCATTAATTACAATAAACAGTTGTTTTTACCATATATGTTGAAATTAATGCTGAAGTCTTCCATTGTAACACGCGGTGGTTAAAGGTCCCATATTGTACGCCTTTCTCTAGTTTTATTTTAGGTTTTGATGTCCTTACGAATATATATTTGCGGTATAAGTACCAAAAACCATCTCAATATATTTTTACAGCTCCTTTCTCAGGAGCTCTGCTGAGAACAGGTCGATTTTGGTCTGTCTAATTAATATTCATGAGTCTCTCTTCTGATTGGCCTGTTGTTTTCTGAGTGACGCACGGCCAGGCCAACCACAGGTATTTGTTTTTACCATATATGTTGAAATTAATGCTGAAGTCTTCCATTGTAACACGCGGTGGTTAAGTGTTTTCAGTCACAAGATGGCGCCAGACAGTCAACGATAGCGGAGTGACTCGTTAAGCATATAAGTAGTACCGGTCAAGATAACTCTTAGTACCCGGATGAGCGGTGTGTTATTCAATTTGGCAGTTGTTATCTGGGAGTAACATACCGCTGGATGGCATGATTGACCAATCAGAATCAAGTATTCCACAGAGCCGTGTAATAACTGGAAATATCTTCTGCTTTGAAAAATAAGGTGGATACTGATAGATAGATAGATAAGACAGACAGGCAGTCAGTCAGTCTCTGGCCTAACTGTGTCTTCAGGTCTGACTGCATGAAATCTCATGAGTGATGTACCTGTGGATCAACTGTGTCTCCCAGCATCCTCTCGATCATCTGACTGATCTTACTGAATGTTGGTCTCTCAGCGGCTTCCAGGTTCCAGCACATCTCCATGATGGTGTACCTGAACACAACATCATTTGATTTACTATTACAAAACCTCAATCACATTCACCGCAAAACCAAAAGAAGAAATAGGAATTGTTTATGGAAAACGAAGCCTCTGTTTTTACGAGCATTATGAGTTGTTGCATTAAGCATCATGTTAAGCACATCTCATTAAGCACATTTATTACTTGACATAAACTGTAAAGTATGAGCATCATAGCAATATGTTATATCGCCTTGATTTGTTATGATCAAATACAGTAGTTTTTCTTTATTGCCATTTTAATCGACTATCCCTCTTAATGGTGCATTACTATATTACTATAAACTAAAACCATTAAAATACTAATTTTTTATTTCATTACTTATAAGAAATAAAATATAGAAATAAACTTTAACCTTTTTTTATTTCTCATTTTGATTTAGTTTAACTTGATGTACTAAAATAACTAAAACTGAAATAAAAATGAATAAAAACTGCATTGACATTTAAAAAAAACTAATAAAAATGTCAAAAACAACAAAAATTACTAAAACTAATTACTAAATTAATTAAATTACTCAAATCAAAATGAAAACAAAATATGTAAATTTAAAATTATTATTTATTTATATAATATATATATATATATATATATATATATATATATTTTCACAGATTTTTCCTTTGTATTTTGAGGTAAAATGTGGCCTATTTCTCATAACAGGGGTTTTTGTAGTGAGCTGAGCGTAGCGTGACTAAACACTCGATTTCTGTTATTTGGTCACATTGTATTTTGCATGCAACTTTCCTGCAGCGTGAACTGAAGCAATAATCACACCCTCTTCTAGTTTTGTAACAAAATATTTAAAATAAACAACATACAGTATTATCACCATGTTTCAGATTCACTCTTTATAGTTTTATTAGTTGTTTTAAAGCACCGAAGCACCTAATTGAGATGCTCAATGAAAAATACTGCTTGGATTTTTTATTTTTAATAATCTTACAGTATTTTTAAACCAGTGGAACAACTGGGGTAAAATAGTGATGGTTTGTGAATCTTTACTCTGTTAACCTCATGCAGAGATACTTGAGTTCAGTAAAGTCGCTGCAGAGAGAGAGCCGTTAGGATGAAGCTGAGAGGACGAGCATGAAATGTGTGGAAAATCAAAGCCTCGCTGTCAGATCATGTGTTTAACAAGCAGAACTAAAGATCTGAGCAGAACAACAAAAAAAGCAGCAGAAACGGAGCGAGACGCAGGATCTGAATCAGAGCCGCCCATCAGTCAACATCAGACCCTGTTGACTTGCATGAGAACTCATAATCTCATGCTATTTTTCTATTTGTGTGATTTGTTTAGCGCTGAGTCTCTAGAAAGATTCATATGTGTCATGTTGTCCTGAGAATAAAACTTATATACAGTATATAGACATTTTAAAAAAGATTTTAAAACATTTTAAAAACGCAACAAAATACTAAAACTGAAATAATAATTAATAAAATCTATACAGATATATTTTTGAAAAACCTGATAAAATTACAAAAACACACAAAAAAAACTTAAATAAAAATACTAAAACCTATATAGACATTAAAAACTGATAAAATGTCAAAAACACAAATGACGCCAATCAAAAGATCCATCGGACTTGGGTACGTATCAGTCTTTGCTTTCATCTTTCTCTGTTGAAGTCCATACTGCCAAATCTTTGTATCTCCACAACAAGATCAACAGCGCTTCATACACACGTAATCTCTTTAAAACATTCAATTCTCTCCTCTGTCCCCCTCGTCCACCTCCCACCACTCACCACCCACCAATGATTTTGTTATATTCTTTACAGACAAAACTAAAACCATCAGCAGTCAGTTCTCAGCTCCAGTGTGGAAAATCAAAGCCTCGCTGTCAGATCATGTGTTTAACAAGCAGAACTAAAGATCTGAGCAGAACAACAAAAAAAGCAGCAGAAACGGAGCGAGACGCAGGATCTGAATCAGAGCCGCCCATCAGTCAACATCAGACCCTGTTGACTTGCATGAGAACTCATAATCTCATGCTATTTTTCTATTTGTGTGATTTGTTTAGCGCTGAGTCTCTAGAAAGATTCATATGTGTCATGTTGTCATGAGAATAAAACTACATACTACATATGATAAAGATTTGGACAAACTTGACTACTGATGTTTCAAAACCTTTTCATCTAAAAGTTCCTGCTTAAATGCTTGAATTTAGCTTTGGAGACAAATACATTTTGGTTATAAATGCAAAATGAAATATACAGATAAAAACAAAAACAAAAACAAACTGAAATAAAATATAATATTTTTAAACAAACTTATTTTATTTCAACTAGTTGCCAAGGCAACATTATTAATTTTCAATTTAATTGTTGTACTAAAATAACTAAAACTTAACCTGAAATAAAAATTAATAATAAGTGTATATACATATGAAAAAAACTGAAAGAAATTACAAAAATAATTCATCTTTCTCTGTTGAAGTCCATACTGCCAAATCTTTGTATCTCCACAACAAGATCAACAGCGCTTCATACACACGTAATCTCTTTAAAACATTCAATTCTCTCCTCTGTCCCCCTCGTCCACCTCCCACCACTCACCACCCACCAATGATTTTGTTATATTCTTTACAGACAAAACTAAAACCATCAGCAGTCAGTTCTCAGCTCCATGCACACAGGAACCCAAACCAACCACATCCACTGCTAAAAGAGAGAGAGCTATCTAAAGCACATCAACTTCTCCATATACACTACATCATACAGGCACATGGTTTCTCCTACAATTGCTGTGTTGATGACACACAGCTCTATCTTTCATTTCAACCAGATGATCCAACAGTAGCTGCACGGATCTCAGGCTGCCTGGCAAACATCTCGGCATGGATGAAGGAACATCACCTGCAGCTCAACCTGGCAAAGACTGAGCTTCTCGTCTTCCCTGCCACTCCAACTCTACAG